TCAGAGGGAATTTTTCAGAGGAAGTACAGGACAAGTCAAGATCATCTGGGGCCCAGGTGAACCCTTATGGGGCAAGGTTTCTAGGGGTGCCTAAAAGACCCCGAAATGGGGGTGCCCGCTGGTCCCACCAGTTGGGGAAAAAAAAGACCCAAAAATTGGGGGAAAATAAAAAAAACCAAACCGGGGGGAAAGTGATGGTGGATAGCGGAACTGTTTTTATCTGTGTTCCCCTGAAGAGGTTCAAAATTCACTTGTAAAACAACAAAATTGGGGGACGGTTTTCGAGGGAGTAAAAAAAAAGCTGATTCCTCTTACGGCCCCCAATTGACCCTCTGCTATAAAAAAAAAAAATTACAATACCCATATGGTATCAAAACTACACCTTTTTGCATTTTTTGGGAAGAGATGCATTTTTGTAAGTTGAACTGTAAAATAAGATGTACACCAAAGGGCTGTCGGGTAAAAGGGGCCCAAAAGGGAAAAAGGTTTCCCAAAATTGTTGTTTGATGACAGGTTTGGTTTTTGCCCTTTGTTTTCTGGTTTGGGAAACCCTCATTTGAAGTTTTTTTTAAAGAAGGCAAAATTTTTGGAAAAATTTTAAAAGGGAGTATTTTTTTTGGGAACATTTTGGGCTTAAAAAAGGTTTGAAATTATATCATGGAAGGAGGGAAAAATCAAAAAATAATTTTTAAGGGGTTTGGGGACGTTATTTTTTTTTTAAACATTCCTAAACCAAAATTTAAATAAATGTAAAACAAAGGCTAAAAATGCTCAATCGTTTCCCAAAGTCTGTGGGGGTAAAGAATTTCCAAAAGCGGGGGGGATTTCCCCGTCACTACCCCAAAAAATTAGGGGGAAAAAGGGAAAATTTTTTGGTTTTTAAATCAGTGAAATGGTTTTTGAAAAATTTTAGGAAAAGTCAAAAAAAAAAAATTAGGAAAACTGGGAAATTAAAGGGAAAACTCTGGGGAAGTCAGCAAGCTTCAAGGGTTAGTGTAAGAAGAGAGAAAACAGGGGTTAAGGGGAAAATTTAGGTTCAGTGGAGAAGATATGGTAGGAGTTTAGACCCTTTAGGGGGCGGGTTGCATTGAAAAAGTATCCCGGTGTTTAATGATGAGAAAAAAGAATGAGTTGGGGTGATTGCCGTATCAAATTTTTTAAAATTCCCCAAAGCAGGAAATCAAGGTGATTATAATTGTATTTTTTATAATCAACAGTTTGAAAGTGAGGGATTAGAGTTGGGACTGAGAGTTGATGTAGTGACACTAGTGGTGATAGATGGAAATACAAGTAAAGAGTTAGAGCTTTAGGAGAATGGATGAATCAACAATGACATCACCATTCAGCATATTATAACAACAGTGAGAAGCAATTCAACTCTTTCAACATTGACAGTTATTAAAGCTATAAATATATCACATTTGATTACAAGGGAGCCAATCGCTCCAGCACCAATTTTAGAGGAAAAGACTGTCATTAGGGTTAGGATGGGTGATACAGCTCATCTTCCTTGTAGATGTGAGAGAAGGAATGTGTAGAGGTGACGTTCCTCCCACATGGAGAGATAATTATGGAGAAGAAGTGTTGTTATCAGGACCGGAAGTAGAAGCTGTTTCACCTAGTCAAAGGAAATATATTTGTACAATGATATGAAGTGGAAGAGGGTTATGAGTGATTGTTCACTTATTTTGCGTAATGTTACATGGAAAGATCAGGGAGAATATATGTGTACTTATCTAGTGCAAGCATTAAAGTTTGTTCCGGCTAAGAATGATTGGTTTAAAAGGCTATGTAACTCGTAAGGTGACGCTTATGATGGAAGATTTGAAGTCTGTTGAAGCTTCCACAGTCACCAAAGGAGTTCAAGAGAAGTATATTACAGTAGCCACTCCAACAGTAAATACTACACAGAGGATATCTGTAACTTTCCCACTGGAAATAGTTAAGGGTGTTAATACATCAACTAAAGCAACTATTTTAATAGTAACTTTGAAAGAGGTTAATGGTACGACGGCAATAACAAATGTAGGAAATATGA